GGCCATATGGTGCCTTACTGACCCACATAAATGGATGGCTGTGAATCACCCAGAGATGCACATTTGTAGGAGATAACAACCCATGCTGGGACTGGGGGAAGAATGCAGAATGACTTTGCTATCATAATTTAGCTAAGAAGAGCACAACAGGTCTGTCAAGTAGAGCCTCCATCTCCTACAGGTTGTACAGCAGAGAAACAGGGTGTGAAAATGTATCTGTTTTAATCAGCAGATACAGGATTTGTTATACACATGCTCTGAGTGTGTATAAAACAGGAGCATTAGTAAAAGGTATCCCTTAAACACATAGAGAAAACCAAGGTAAACCAAACCCCAAATCAACTAATATTTGTCAATCTTACTGTGCTATTTAGAATCCATTTTCTTTATACATGCTGGCCACCCTTACCATTGACTGAAGATTTCATTACCACCAAGCTGTACTGCTTCAGAGCTACTGGAGCTAAACTCCTCTTACTATTCTCCAGCTCATATTTTTTGCTCCTCTGTTTTCCAGTAACTCCTGTTCATAGGCTTATCTTTCTCCATTTGTGATTTAAGCTGGTAGCTCCTCCTCCAGGCTCCACGTCACTGTTTCTCTGGCCTTTAGGCATCTGTTTTATTCTTTCTGTGATAGCCACTTCCTCAATATCTTTCATCACTTAATTATTTTTCTTTTAGCTTTTGCTACTCATTTTTTGCTACCTGAAGTTGCTCCCATTTTGTGCCATGCAACTTCCAAGTGCCACCTCCTGAACTGCTGGGTTAATATTTGACTGTGGCTGGGCAGAGGCAGTGGGGTTCTGCCACTCTGCTTGGCAAGCCCTCTTCCTTCTACACTGCTGTCAGTGTAACCGTGGTGGTAAGTCAGTATTTAAGCTTAAGATTGGTTAAATGCTTCACTAGAATGGGACAGCTATGGGCTTGCTATTGCAAGCCCCCAACAGAGATGAAAGGCATTCTCTTTACCTACTCTTTGTGTTTACTGCCCAGGCTTTTTGTGTGGGTTTGTTCTGTTCTCTTAAACGCTTCTGGTGGCTGCAAATTCCTAAGCAGTGAAGACCAGTAAGATGCAAACTCCTTCAAATCAGTGCAGTCTGTTGGGTAACTTTTTAAAATGTGTTATCATGAGAGTGGTTTATACTGTGGTCACAGCCCTGGGGTTATTTTATGCCCTGATGTGACCATTGTCATTACAACTTGTGGCTGAAAACTTGGCAATATGGATATCCGGATAACAATGTTCTTCCTTCATCATTTGCACTGTATTCTTGTGCTTCAGGTCTCTGCCTTGGACTGAAGCTTGGTTCACCAGTGTCACAACACTGTGACATTCTTACAAATCAGTACTTGATTTTCTTTATCCAAGCCAATATGTGCTAAGTGCTGTAAAACTATGCTAAGTCTGGGACCTGACTTGTTGAAGACTTCCTGCACAGCAGGGAAGTGGCAAATGCTGGTGATGTCTGCTTTGGCATGGCACCACCACCACCTCTAAAAGCTTCTCCTGCCAATAATCCCTGCAAGAACCACCCTCTGTCAATATCGCTCTAACTACAAGAAGCATGAGACTGCCAAGGTGACATCCTCGTCCCACTGATGCTGCCAGTGGTGGCTAACACCAACTCAAATGAACATAGGGTTCATCCCCTCTGTTTTCCCATCTCTTCCTCCCTCAAGGATGGGGCTTGAAGAATAGTGGTTCATGCAGGAAATTATTACCCTTCCTATTTCCCTGTGGTTTACCATCTACCTGTGCAGGTTTTCTTGCTCCAAGTGTATTTTTTCTTTTATTAATCTGTAATGGAAGGAGTAGAAACATGCACTAGTAATCAATAGGTCGAATTTAAATCCCTTCTCCCCTCTCTTCTACAGTGTTCAAGAATTAAGACTTTAAGCTTCCTAAAAGGACATGCTATTAATTATGTAACTATTATACGATAGCACATAAATGTTATAAATACAAGTGACTGCAAACATTGCAAAGAACATCTGCCTCTGACTGAATCTGTGTAACAGTTCCATCACACACCCTCCATGCTAACTCTTTTGGTGGTATAATCACTCCCCAAAGATGGCACTCATTCCATTTCTTGATATGTCCAGCAGTTTATGAAGGTTCATGGGTGAATGTGAACCAGAATAGCCAGAAGGGACTGAGATTTGTTGGGTTTTTTTCCCAGAATTTATATTATAATGTAGTCAAAATTTTCTAATAGATGTCATAGGACTTGAATTTCAAATTCTAAACATTCAGTGTCTGTTACTAATAAATGTGGATAGTTTTGCTTCCCTGTGCTGTAGCAAGTATTTGTAATATACATAACCATTGTAAAATTCAGGTACAGCTCCCCACACCTGCCCTTTCCCACTAGCATTGCATTATTAGTATGTCAGATTGACAAAGAGTATCTGTAACATGGGCAGGACAGTGAGACTTTGCCTCCTCTGGGGCTTCTCTCATCATTTTTCTGCAGCAGAACATGGCCTTAGGGCAGTGGTGCCTCTCTTTCTCTGTTGTCTTTGCGAAAATAATTGCAGTAGCTTTGGAGCTGTAGTACTGTTTCCAGCTGTACCTAAATTGTATCAGGTGTCTTGCTGTGTTGTACATGTGGAAGCAGAGGAGGGGAACTTTCAGGGTTAGAGCATGAGGTTGGGAAGGGGCAGCTCAGATGCCCACGTTCCTGTTCCTGGGGGCTGCTCTTTCCTCAGAGCAGAGCTTTGGCTTTAGCTTTCAGGTTGGCTGAGGGGAGCTGTGTGTTGGATCCCCTGCCAGCAAGAAGCAAGAAATCTGTCCATGAGAGCATCCATGAGGCAACAAAATGTTGAAGTTGGCTGTATTTTGGTGTGGTGCATGGGGCGAGCACCCACATGGAAGTACCTGTGTGTGGTGGTACAAGAGGACATAGCAGGCAAGTGGAGAAACAGCATGATATTACCCACAGCCGTGGTTACCCCAGGTGCAAGACATTCTGAAAATGTAGGAGAAAACAAAGTTTATAGCACAGTGCAATTTGTGTCATGCTTTATTGATTTCTAATTAATTTTACATCTATTTTAAGAATCATGCAAGCTCCCAAGCCCTGTGTTGCCATTCTTGCAAGCTGTCCTGTTGACTTGAGATGGGTTCCTTCCATGACAGAGGGATGTGGAGAGCAGCTGGACACCCACTCAAAGCCACCCCACCTCATCTAGAAGTTATCCAAGAGCTTCCTATAGGAGTCTCTCACAGTGCCCAAATAGTCTCCACCACAGGCACTGACAATTCTTTATTTCATCTTATTTTGCTGTGTCTCACCTTAGTAGAATTAAATAATAATTCCTATATTAAGATTACATCTGCACTATGAAGATATGTTTGTTTCTTCACAAATAGCTTTGCATAAAGCTCTGGTGAATATCTTTACAAAAAGAAACATTTGGCCCATTTTGGCAGATTTTAAATGTTTGCAAGGGTTCTAACAGGCAATGATTTTAATTCCAGTGAAGCTACTGCTAATCAGGAGACAGAGCTTATGCAGAAGTCTCTCTTGCAAGCAAAAACAGGCACTTAACATAATTGCTTCATAAGAATAGGATCTAGCAAAACACTGAAGAGAATGTTTGACATTTAAACATCTGGTTAGTGTTAGTGGGGCTATTATTTTACCTTAATGTCAGAAAAACCTGCCATGTTAAAGTTTAATTTCTCAGGTTTAGAGCCCATGAGCTTTGCATAAAAATAAGGGTTTATTTATATGAAAATATGCTCTGTCATAGTCAGATTTTTCTTATTATTCTTTCCCTCATTTGCCCTCAGACAAGGGTGTCTGAGGCTGACACATTGTCTAGGCAAATTAAGTCAAGCTGAAAGCAAGGGTACAGTGTTAAGGCAGAGCAGCAAATAAGATTTACATTTTCAAGCAAGAGCAGTAATTTGGCCATTGCATATTTTATATCTTCATGATTATTTTTCAGAGTGGTGTATCAAATTAAGCATAGAAGTAATGAGGCATTAGTGTTCCAACAATCAGTTGGGGTTCATCAAGTAAAAAGTACAAATTACTCTTCGGTTTTGCTGCCACCCAGAGAGTTTATATGTTTAAAATACCAGCAGGCAGGTGTTGTGACCAGAGCTAATTGGGTTTGTAGTTAGGGACATACTGTGTTTCTGTATTACAAACTATAAAGGGAATAGGCCTTCTTTTGAGCAATACACTACTTAGCATTGTGCTGTGGACTTCACTATGAGAGGTGTTTGGTTCTTTGCAGAGCAAATGAAGTTTTGAACTTACTATGCTGGCACAGATGGTTATAACTGCTTGACTGAAGGCAGGCAAGCTTTGAATGCAGGGGTCCAGGTCCATTGCTGCTGTAGTATAAGAATGGTCTACAGGGCCCCAAGCTCTAAATTCTCATGACCCAAATTATCCTCCCTCTGGCTACACATACAGTGTTTGTATGCTTGTATATATTAGGTGAGGCTGCTGCTCTCCCTTGTTGCGCTGAACAGGCAACTTGGCCAGCAACCTTTGTTCTTACCTGTATTTCTGCACACAGTCTTGCAGTGTTAGCCCACACACAATGCTAGTTTTTTGGCAGAAGTAATGTGGCCACAAAATTGTCTGACTGGTACTGTATGCTAATTTAAGGTTTTCAGCCATTAAATACCTGTAGTACTTCTCCCTATCTTGATATCTTTCTTTACAATGAGAGTATCTGTGTAAATTAAGCTAGATTTATGGGAAAATAAGTCCCTGCAGCTAATTATCTTTTTTTCCTGCCCCCTTTTTTGCTTTACTCTCCAATCCCAAAGACACAACCCTTTTCTAATGCCTGATATACTACTTCATATCCAGGTACATACTGCAAGTATGGTACAAAAACACAACCCAGAACATAATCCTTTGCCTTTCCTCCCCACAGATCTGACAGCACAAAAGCCTTGCTACAGCTGTCACAAATAGCAAACACATTGGGTATTCCCACCTGCCCCCTTTTGAATTGCATCAATTCTGATTATGAGCCAGAAAGAAGAAGAAATGGAGGACAGTTCCCTGCCACTCTGTGTCACCTGCGGCCAAGCGCATTTACCGGAAGAAAACCACTTGTACAGCTACACCGAAGAAGTAGATGATGATCTGATATGCCACATTTGCCTGCAACCTTTGCTTCAGCCATTAGACACGCTCTGTGGTCACACCTTCTGCACAGCCTGCCTTACAAACTTCCTTGTGGAAAAAGACTTCTGCCCCATGGACCGCAAGCTTGTGATTCTCCAGACGTGCAGGAAGTCCAGCATACTAGTGAATAACCTCCTGGATAAGCTAATGGTTAGCTGCCCTTTCACAGAACACTGCTCAGAGGTCGTGCAACGTGGTCACCTTGAACAGCATTTCCAAACCCAGTAAGTTGTTGTTGACAGACCTTTTTGCACTCTATTTTTTTTGAGTAGAGGAAAAATGTCTTCAATTACTGATCAAAGTAGATAGTTAACATAAAGAAAGAGTTGTTGTTTTCACTCACAGTGAACACAGTATCATTAATTTAGAGCTGAATTTAGTCCATTTATAGTCCAAGATATAGGCTGTATCTTACTCTTTTTTAGAACCAAATGCATCAATGCATGTAAGGTACTTCATGCTGTTGTTAGCAGTTCTGGGTGAATACCTTGTGGCTAGCTGCACAATGACGGTGTCTATGTGGTCCGAAGAGATCTGCGTGTTTTGGGAAGCTGAGCTATTATAAATATTTTAATAGCACATTAAGGGTTTTATAATTGCCCTTTCTTCAAATCTGTTTTGAATCACAAATGACCTATATGAGAAGTAGAGCAGAAAATATTCTGGTTTGGTATTGGTCTTTGAACCTAAGTGCTCCTTTCCTCCAGGTGAGCACTTACCCAGGGCACCATGGGGCTCACAGAGAGACGGAGTCTGGAAGAGTCTGGCTGGACTCCCCCTCCAGCCTTATCCCTCCTGGTAGCCAGGATAACCCTCCACCCTGCCTCTGGGAGAGACATCTCCAGGGAGTGGTTTGGTTCCCCTGCAACGAGAGAACTGAATGATTTTCTGTTTTGCAGAGTAAAGAATGTGCTGATGATTTTGTCATGCATGTTCTGCCTTTTGTAAGGAAGGGAGAGGGGTAAAGAGGTACTTTCAGGGCTGTGATTTCTGACAGCAGACTAACCCTTTGGCATAGTCTGTGTAACAGTACCACAGGTCTGAGGAGAGATGGGGTCTCAGATGTGCCCTTTTCTGTTAGCTGTATCTGTTGCCCAGTGAAATTACTTCCCCTGAAGTTTGCAGGTGTAAATTGTGTTGCTAGGTGTGTACCTCTGCATGTGCAATGTGAAGGAAGTCTTGAGCAGCCAGCACAGGGCTCCAGACTGCTGCTGGGGGCACATTCCTGCACAGACATGGCAGTACTGAGGACCAGAGTATCGCTGGTGAGCAAGCTGGTGAGCCAGAGGGTGGAGGTTTGTTCACATACTGCACGCTAAACAGTTGTGAGCCTGAAACTGGAAATGGCTCTGAAGCTTGCCATTCAGATATGTCCTCTGGAGACCTCATTTCTTGAAGCACCTGGATTCTCACTAGGAATTTATTCACTTGACGATATTCACAAAGTTATGGCGTCCTAACCAACAATAAATGTGATGATTTTGTATTAGTAAATCAAATGAACCCCCATAACTTTAGCAATGGGTTTATTGATCCCTTGTGAAGGTCATGAGACCACTTTTCACATGCTGGAGGTTTGGTGGTTTTGGATTTGGGTGCCCTTGTCCCCAGACTTCTGGACCTGGCTTTCCCTGTATGGGCGCTTCTGGCTCATGGTGCAAGAGGCAGTGGCAGCAGGCCTCAGCCCAGGCTAGCAGTGCTCTGGGAGTTCCACTGTGTGCAGCTAAGAGGACAAAATAACAAAGTTACTCACAATTTTCTGTCTTAGGCCAGTACTTCTCTAATAGGCCTCTAATGTTAATTTCAACAGAAATGCAGGTAAGGGAACTGTCAGTCAGTCTTCTGTGTGCTGCTGTCACTGAAATTATGTTTCTCTACAGATTCCAACCACAAAATCATGAAACCCTGGTGCATATGCCCTTTGATATATATATCTAGGTGAATTTAATGTGATATAGACCTTCCTGTTGGTCTTCATTTTTTTTGACATTATGATGCTGTGACCATAAAATTAGCAGGACACCCTTTCCCAATTTATCCCCAATAAGTAAGCAAATTCTTTTTTACATGGAAGCCACACAGCTAGCACAACTTTTGATTTCTAGTGTTGATTCTTCTATGTGACTACATGCAAGTCACTCCAATGTCTTAGTTTCTTCTCCTTAAGGTGGTTATAAAGGTACCCTTCACTACATATTTTACAGAATTCCAGTGCTATAAACAATGATTTGGTCCTGTAAAACCTGGCAAGTTTTATTCCAGCACTTACTGTTGAATGTCAGTGGCTTGGCCTGGATCTTCCTATCAAGGATCTTCAAGATCCTGTGCTTCTGGATTGCTTGGCCTGAGCCCAGGCAGAGATAGAAAGAATTATCTCGGTAACGTATTCCCACTATCTCTTGCTGTTCCCTCTTCCCTGTGTTAGGTTCCCTGCACCAAGCTCCCAGGTTTGCAAACCTCAGGAGCAGAAGACTGGAGAGATGGAGTAGGGTCTTCCTACCCTAAAGCCTCTAAAGTAATGAAGTACACAGCATTGCTACGTAGGCTGGACATTTTCTTCTTTGCTACTCATGACACGGATTTTCCTTCCTCCGAATGGATGGGAAGGCTGATTTACCTTAAGGCCAAAGGGCAGAGACAGGAGAACCAGAAACAGGGAACTTCTGCTGTTGGGGGTTTCAGCTTTACAGGGGATAGGTACTGTAACCTCACTAGCATTCCCACTTGAGGGAAGAAATATTTGAGGGAGGGAACATTCCAAGTGATCCTTAAAGGTGGACTTCTACATCCTTGTGCTTGCAGGCACTGCACAGTACCTTTATTTTTTTTTAAGCACAGCATTAATTAATTATCACGTAAGGTATCTTATGCCACTGCCTAATCTAATTGTTGGAAATGGAGAAAGCTCTCTTGCCACCCCATCTCCAATTAATAGCAAAGAGAAAGATATTGTGCTCTGTCATGCCTGGGGACAGATTAAACAGACTGAGCTGATGCTGTTTTCTTTAACTCTGGTGAATCAATAGAGGGAAGGGGAAATGTGTGACTTTGCTAATAAAACAAATACAATAATAATCATAAATAATTGGTGTCTGCAGTGAGAACAGTTCAGAGCCCACGTGGTATCTCCACAGAACATTATTGTGTTCCCAGTGAATAAATTAAAGTAGACTGTACTAGGGTCACCAGGGTGGTCAGCAGTCCTCACATTAAGTGCATTATTCAGGTTCAGACCAGTCCTGGTTCTGAGAGAGAAAACAAAAGTTTGCCCTGGTCAGAGATGAGGTCACTGATGGGACAAGGTGAGCTTGCTGTTTTATGCTTTGTAATTGATGAGAGAACTTTACAATTTTTTTAAAAATACCGGTTACCATGGAGCAGTCCACCGAAAGCATCCTTATTTAAAATGTTTGCTCTTGCATCCTTCAAAAGAAACCCTGAGAAGAGACATGTCCTTGGATTATTACATGATTTATGTTTGTACAAAAACATCTGACTGGATTTGGGGAATTCAGACTGAGATGCAAACAGCCAGCAGTTGTCTGTGATCTTTTGCAGTGTTTTACTTTAAAAAGGTGTGGTCTTCTGATATCGCCTGCTACAAAACTCCATGGGGGGCATTTTTTTCCCCCCCTTGTCAGACAGCTACACCCTTCCACGATGCAGTTTAGCTCGTAACCCATCTGCTTGTGGGCAGTGATGTAAACATACCAGCTGCCTCTGAAGAACCACTCTGAATCCTGCAGGAGGCAGGTCTCTTCCCCGAGCATCGCTCTCCTCTGCAGCATAAGTCACTGTCTCGCCAACCACGCTGTGCTGTCCCTAAACCCTCACATCTACCCATCCGAGAGTCAGATCGAGTAATCCTCTTACAGGTCAATGATTTTTGCAGTGTAGCTTCGTTTAAGGGATTTAAGCTCGATTCATAATGTGCTACCATTGCGTTGAAATGGAAAGGCTTGCTTAGAAGGGGCTTGGCTGGCACGAAAGCTTCTCGTTGTGTGTCCCACCAGCACAGAGAGACGGTGGGAAGGAGGAAACCTAGCAGCAGTGCCAGCACTGCACTGAAAATGAAGGCTCTCCTGTTACTGGTCCTACCTTGGCTAAGTCCTGCAAACTACATAGACAATGTGGGCAACCTGCACTTCTTGTACTCCGAGCTGTGAGTACGCACAGTCGCGCCAGCGTCGTGCTCTCTGTCTGTCTGTCTCACCTGAGTGGAGGGAAGGGGCTTGCCATGAGCGTTTTGGGGGGGTCTGTCTGTCTGTGTGTCTGTGCCTGTGCATACGTGCGAAGAAAATCCTGCAAGGTCTTGCCAACAGCTTCACACCGAGCTGCTTCCCATCCGGAGGGCTAATAATAGCAGTACATCCCCATTGCTTTCTGCTCTGGAAGCAGCTGAGACGTACTGAGTGAAGCTGCTTTTGTCCTTATCAACTTGTTTTTCTGTGCCGATGTTTAAGGTGTTTGTTAGTTTGGGGTTTATTTCCATTTCTGAATCTGTGTTTTCCCTTTATTTCCTGTAAATAGCCTTGTGGGGAGCTGGGAATAGGGGAGGGCATCAGGGTAGACACCCCCAGTAGAGAACTGTCTGTGTACATACATAATGTTCTGTGTGTAAAGCTGCATGCCTGTAGCAAAACGCTGAGAAGCCTTTCACCAGAAATAATTCACTTGAGACAGAAGAGAATTTTCCCGTATTTCTGTTTTTTGCCCACAGCAGAATGTTATTTTTTCTGTAAAGCAAATTTAAGTGTAGCAATCCATTCATATATCTTTGTGTTTTTAAAAAACCCACCTCAAACGACCCCATAGCTGGTCTTTCCAACCCATAAAACAAATATTCTATGATATCTTCTGTAAATGTTACTGCTTTAATTTGTACTTGAATGTTATTGTACTAGTTAGTGGAGCTTTTATGACTAGAAATAGATATTTATTTCATTATGTTTTTGTTAATTATGTGTTTGTATTTTAACAATTGTAAACTTTCAAGATCTTCATTGAGATAATGAATTAAATGTCTAATTCTCTCAAAAGCGAAAAATGACTGTAATTATGCCTACAGTGGGAATGTTTTAGTAACAGTTGTGATTAGTACCAAAGAGACTAATTTTCAAATTATTTTGTCTCTACTGTCAGACAAAAATAGCAGTGTTTTGCAGAAACACAAAGTCCCCTTTTGAAATCCTTGTTTGATGTGCACGGCAACAATTAATAATTT